AAATCACTTGCCCTCATTGCCGTTGCTGTGCGTGCACAAACACCACGTGCTGCGCACCATCAGGCTGGGGTGGGGAAAGAAAGGGGACAGGAAATCACTTGCCCTCATTGCCGTTGCTGTGCGTGCACGGACACCACGTGCTGCGCACCATCAGGCTGGGGTGGGGAAAGAAAGGGGACAGGAAATCACTTGCCCTCATTGCCGTTGCTGTGCGTGCACGGACACCACGTGCTGCGCACCATCAGGCTGGGGTGGGGAAAGAAAGGGGACAGGAAATCACTTGCCCTCATTGCCGTTGCTGTGCGTGCACGGACACCACGTGCTGCGCACCATCAGGCTGGGGTGGGGAAAGAAAGGGGACAGGAAATCACTTGCCCTCATTGCCGTTGCTGTGCGTGCACAAACACCACGTGCTGCGCACCATCAGGCTGGGGTGGGGAAAGAAAGGGGACAGGAAATCACTTGCCCTCATTGCCGTTGCTGTGCGTGCACAAACACCACGTGCTGCGCACCATCAGGCTGGGGTGGGGAAAGAAAGGGGACAGGAAATCACTTGCCCTCATTGCCGTTGCTGTGCGTGCACAAACACCACGTGCTGCGCACCATCAGGCTGGGGTGGGGAAAGAAAGGGGACAGGAAATCACTTGCCCTCATTGCCGTTGCTGTGCGTGCACGGACACCACGTGCTGCGCACCATCAGGCTGGGGTGGGGAAAGAAAGGGGACAGGAAATCACTTGCCCTCATTGCCGTTGCTGTGCGTGCACAAACACCACGTGCTGCGCACCATCAGGCTGGGGTGGGGAAAGAAAGGGGACAGGAAATCACTTGCCCTCATTGCCGTTGCTGTGCGTGCACAAACACCACGTGCTGCGCACCATCAGGCTGGGGTGGGGAAAGAAAGGGGACAGGAAATCACTTGCCCTCATTGCCGTTGCTGTGCGTGCACAAACACCACGTGCTGCGCACCATCAGGCTGGGGTGGGGAAAGAAAGGGGACAGGAAATCACTTGCCCTCATTGCCGTTGCTGTGCGTGCACGGACACCACGTGCTGCGCACCATCAGGCTGGGGTGGGGAAAGAAAGGGGACAGGAAATCACTTGCCCTCATTGCCGTTGCTGTGCGTGCACGGACACCACGTGCTGCGCACCATCAGGCTGGGGTGGGGAAAGAAAGGGGACAGGAAATCACTTGCCCTCATTGCCGTTGCTGTGCGTGCACAAACACCACGTGCTGCGCACCATCAGGCTGGGGTGGGGAAAGAAAGGGGACAGGAAATCACTTGCCCTCATTGCCGTTGCTGTGCGTGCACAAACACCACGTGCTGCGCACCATCAGGCTGGGGTGGGGAAAGAAAGGGGACAGGAAATCACTTGCCCTCATTGCCGTTGCTGTGCGTGCACAAACACCACGTGCTGCGCACCATCAGGCTGGGGTGGGGAAAGAAAGGGGACAGGAAATCACTTGCCCTCATTGCCGTTGCTGTGCGTGCACAAACACCACGTGCTGCGCACCATGAGGCTGAGAGGAAGGAAGAACGGGGGGGTGGGAGAAGCGATCACACGGTCGGTGGAGACCATTTACTTGTCATGAGGCTGTGCATGCACGGACACCACGTGCTGCACACCATGAGGCTGGGAAGGAAGGAAGATGGGGTGGGGAAGGGGACTCAAGTTTGGGAATGACCAGGCACTCATCAGGGTTGTGTTGCTGTGCGTGCAGGAGCACCACATGCTGCGCAGCATGAGGCTGGGGGGTGCAGGGGTGCGGGGAGGGGAAAAAGGTGGGTTGCTTGGGGCGGTGGAGCGAGGGAAGGAAATCCTTTCAATTAACGACTCCACTACCAAGGGTGATGCAGTAGCCATGGGAGGAGCATCGGTTGGCGTGGTCATCAGCTCAAGAGGAGTTACTGTAGCCCTCCAACCGAGGAGGAGAAAGGCCACCCAGTGTAAGAACTCGAGACTTGGTTGTGCCCTGCAGGTAGCGCAAAACCCGCTTCGCCGCTGACCAGTGGATAGTGGTAAAGCGCCCAGGGGGAACAAGGTCATCGTGGAGTGAGATGAGAACAAGCTCATCGTGGAGTGAGATGAGAACAAGCGCATAGCTGAGCCACACACCTGTTGAAGACGCGCACGTTGATGAAGGCGAGGAGGTGCTTGAGCACGCTCTGGATGACGGGTGGAGGCACCTGGTTCTCCAGCAGCACCAACGCTGCCCTCCGCAGCAACCCCACCACGCTGCTCCACGTGCTGCCCACGTGCTCCTTCAGAGCCACGCTCGGGAACTTGGGCAATGCGCCTCCACTCGCGCGCCTTCCGGGTGCTGCTTCTGCTGCCGCCCCATCCGTTGCATGCGATTGCGGCTGCTGTGGCTGTGTCAGGAACAGGGGGATGGGAAAAAGAGAGTTCTGAGAGGAGAAAAACCACCACGCTGCTCCACGTGCTGCCCATGTGCTCCTTGAGGGCAACGCTCGGGAACTTGGGCAGTGCGCCTCCCGTGCTCCCTCGCCTTCCAGGTACTGCTTCTGCTGCTGGTCCGTCTGTTCCATGTGACTGCGGCTGCATAAGCAACAGGTGCAGTGGTTGCTGATAAGGGCAGAAGCAGATGCAAATTGAAGCGCAAGAGCAGGAACAGAGGAAAAGGAAAAGCAAAGGCAAGGAAGCAAAAGCAGAGGCAAAAAAATCAAGCGGTTGGCAGCACTGACAGGTGGTTGCAGGAGGGCAGCGACTTGCGAGGTGCAGTGCTGTGTGAAGAGTCCCACCGCGTGCTGCACACATGCGTCCACCTTGTGTGCTAACAGCATGGTCTCAGCTGGTAGGGCGAACTGGGGGTGGTGATTTGTGGAGGGCGGGAGGGGGCGAGGTGCAGAGTGGGGCAAGGCAGAGAGAGTAGGAAGAAAGAGGTGGAGCACACAAACGTCCACCTTGTGTGCCAATAGCTTGGTCACTGCTGGCAGGACGAACTGGGGCGGATGGTATGGTATGGTCTGGAGCAGAGTTGGGTTGGGTGAAGCACAGAGGCAAGGAGCATGAGGAGATGTGAAGTAAGAAGGATGTGCGCCACGCCACGGTAACTGAGCTGAGCACTAGGAAGGAGTTTTGAGGCGCCTCAAATGTGCGCCACAGTAACTGAGCACTAGGAAGGAGTTGTGAACCTCGCTGAGCACTAGGAAGGAGTTGTGAACCTCGCTGAGCACTAGGAAGGAGTTGTGAACCTCGCTGAGCACTAGGAAGGAGTTGTGAACCTCGCTGCGTGCTGCACACACACACACGTAGCACCTTGTGCGGCAGCAGCATGGAATTCTTTTGCGAGCTGAGGGGCGTGAGATCTGGAGACCGGGCGGGGGGGGGGGGAGGGAGCGAGGGGCACAACTTTTGAGGCGCCTCAAAAGGCAGCAGCATGGAATCCTTTGGCGAGCTGGGGGCCGTGAGATCTGGAGAGGGGGGGGGGAGCGAGGGGCACAATGGGGCAGAGCAGAGAGAGCAGGAGGAGGAGAGAGGTGCGGTACATTCAAACCTAGTGCGCCCACCTGTTATCACCCACTACCATCCCCTCTAATATCCCCTCCCACCCCGCACCGACCCCTACCACCCAGTATCACCCCATACCATCCCCTACCACCCGTACCAACCCCCGACCACCTGCACCATCAACATACCACCCCTTACCACCCCTTGCCACCCCGGCGCAACGTGCACAGGGCCTCACCAAGCCAGTGGGCCCGGCTGCAGCAGGGTCAAGGTCTTGTCCTGTAGGAGCACACGCCAGGCTGATCGTGTTAGCAAGGGCCCTAGCGATTCCTACCACTCCCTACCACTCCCTACCACTCCCTACCACTCCCTACCATCGTCTATCACCCCTTGCCACCCCTGCAAAACCCGCACACGGCCTCACCAAGCCAGTGGGTCCGGCTGCAGCAGGGTCAAGGTCTTGAGCCGTGGGAGCACACGCCAGGCTGGTGGTGCCAGCGTGGGGAACAGCGTGGGCAGAGGCAGGCAGGCACAGGCCCTACTACCCCTACCAAACCCTACCATCCCCTATGCCCCCCGCAAAACCCGCATATGGGCTCACCACGCCAGTGGGTCCGGCTGTAGCAGAATCAGCGTCCTGCCCTGTAGGAGCACACGCCAGGCTGGTGGTGCCGGCGCGCGGAACAGCGTAGGCAGAGGCAGGCACGGGAGAGGAGGAAGCTGTGGGGAGGGAGGAGGAGGAGGGCGGTGGGGCTTCTGAGAGATCGGCGCTGGTAGCACCAGTAGCAGCACCTGAAGCAGCATTGGGAGCAGCATAGGGGGTGGTACCAGCAGTGGTGGAATGAGGTGGGGGATGGTGGTGAGGGTAAGAGTGCTGCTTGGGGGTGCTGTTTTGGGTGGGGCGAGGGGGTTGGCGGGCGGGAGGCGGCATGGCAGGGGCGGCAGCAGAGGCAGCAGAGGCGGAGGGGTTGTGTGTGGCATGGGCGGCAGAGGGAGGGGAGGAGGAGGCGGAGGAGCGGGAGGAGAAGAGCCCGCTGAAGAAAGACGCTGCAGCCTTGATGCTGCTGCGATTGCCAGGCGTGCTGCTGCTACTCGATGCTCCTGGGTTGGTTGCCCCCACAGCGCTCCCAGCAGATGTAGCCCTGCCGGGGATTCTCGCAGCAGCAGTGGTGGTACTGGCACCTGAGGCACCTGCGACCCCATCAGCAGCAGAAGCTGCTGCTGCTGCTGCTGAGGCTTCACTAAGGGATGCTGGTGTTGCGTGGATAGCAGCAGCATCAGCAGCAGCAGCAGAGCCCACCGCCTCCTCCCTCCTCCCTTTCGCCTGCTGCGAATCCGCCTCCATCTCTCCTTCCCCACCCCCTCCCCCTGCCGCCGCCGCCGCCGCAGCAGCAGCCATGGCTTGCCAGCGGGCGGGCTTAAGCCCCCCCAGCAGCAGTGCGTGCAGGGCAACAAGGGTGGAGATCCAATACGCCAGGCGCTCCAGACTCCCTGCTGAGCGCTGCAGGGCTGTGCGGATGGCTGATAGCACCTCGTCGTGTGGCGGGATGGGGGATGAGGAGAGGGAGAGGGAAGAGAAGGGGGAGAGGGAGGAGAAGGGGAGGGAGGAGGCGGAGGAGTAGGGGGAGTAGGGGGAATAGGGGGAGTAGGGGGAGAAGGGGGTGGAGGGGGGGAGGAAGGGAGGGACGGCTGTAGCGCCAGCAGCCACCGTTGCTGCTGCTGCTGCTGATGTGGGCGTGGTGGCAGTGATGGTGGTGGAGAGGAGGTTGGTGTGGAAGGAGAGGTGCGGCCAGAAGCGGAGGATGGTGAAGAGGAAGCACGCTGGCACTGAGTGGCCTGACGGGGTGAAGCCCAGCGGGCGCACCACGTAGCGCAGCAGGTACTGCACCTGATGGGGGAGGGGGGAGCAGGGAAGAGTGCAGGGTAAATAGGAATGGGGGCGGTGGCCTGAGTGGCCTGAGTGGCCTGAGTGGCCTGAGTGGCCTGAGTGGCCTGAGTGGCCTGAAGGGGTGAAGCCCAGCGGTCGCACCACATAGCGCAGTAGGCATTGCACCTGAAAAGGGGGAAGGGTTAGAGAGGGGAGAGGGGAGCAGGAAGGGAGAAGAGGAAGCAGGCCGGCACTGATTGGCCCAAAGGGGTGAAGCCGAGTGGCCGCACCACGTAGCGCAGTCAGTACTGCACCTGAGGGGGGGGATGGGAGGGGAGGGGTGGGGAGAGGGAGGATAGGAATGGGGCCGGTGGCCTTGGCCTGAGCCTGAGGAGGTAAATCTCAGCGGACGCACCACGTGGTGCAGCATGTGCTGCATCTGAGGGTGGGAAGGGAGCAGGAGGGAGGGAGAACTGAGTGATAATGGCGGGACGACAGAGGAATGACAGTGGGAGCAGATGGCGTGGTGTGTCCATGGCTTACCTGTGAAGAGCACGAGGGACCAGAGGCAGCCAAGGCTCCTGACGTGGGCGATACAGGGGACGACGGTACCGTGACACTGCCACCCCCACCCCCACCATACTGCTGCTGCTGCTGCAGCAGGCGGCGAGTAAGAATGCCTGGCCGCCCACTCCTCTCCCTTTCCCTGCCTCGCCCCTTCTCCTGCACCCCCTTCGCCCCTGCTGCTCCTGCACCTTCCATGTGCGCCCTCTTGCCCGTCTGCAGGCTGCGGGTGGGGGAGATGGGGGAAATAGGAGGGCAGGGAGAGAAGATTGAGCCCTCCTCCTACACACCTCTTCACCTCCCTGCCAAGCCAACCTGCCCAACTGCCCACCTACCACCCCACCTGTCAAGCTGGCGCTGCAGCGAGTGCACCTGCTGCTGCTGCTGTTCACACTTGCACCACCCACCTCTCTATCTGCCCGTTACCACCCCCACCAGCCCATTCACACCCCCCTTCACCCCAACGACCCACCTGTCAAGTTGTCGCTGCAGCGAGTGCACCTGCTGCTGCAGCTCAGCCGCCAGAGCACCTGTCAAACTGCCGCTGGGTAGCCTACCTGCCTGCCCAGCTGCTATCACTGCAGCTAGTGACCCCACCTATCTATCTTCCCTGTACCAAACCACCAATAGCCCACCTGTCGAGCTGGCGTTGCAGCGAGTGCACCTGCTGCTGCAGCTCAGCCGCCAGCGCCTGCCACTGCAGCAGCTCGCGCCTCACCTCCTCCATCCGCGCCTCCGCCTGCCGCGCCCTCGCCCGCGCCACACTCGCCTCCTGCCTCGTCTCCTTATACGCCCCCCTCAACCAGTCCGCCTCCGCTCCCAGCCGCGCCGCCATGTCCCGATCCTTCTCCGCCAAGGCTATCATCTGGTGCAGGCTCGGCACCGAACCACTCCCTCCTGCTCCGGACCCGCCCGCACCTCCCCCGCTCCCTCCGCCAAAACTCACCACAGAAGGTGCTCCAGCGCTCCCCGCCCGGCCGTAAAACCCGCCCCAGGCCGTACCTCCCCCAGACCCGCCCCGGAACCCCCCTGGCTGTCCCCCCATTCCCCCTGCTCCCCCCATTCCCAGGCGCATGGCCATTGTCGACCTGCCGCCTCCCAGCATGCCCTCCCTGAGGCTCCAGTCTTCGTCTAAAGAGCCCACACTGGAGGTGGAGGGGGAGGAGCGCAGGCGGTCAGAGTGGCAGCGTGGCGGCACGATCATCCCCACTGGCGGGCTGCGGTAGGCTGGAGGAGGTGGTGGGGGAAAGTCGGGGAGCGGCGGGGAGAGGCCTCCTGGGGTAGGGTTGTCTGCTGCTGCGGTGGTGTGAGGTGGAAGAGGCGGAGGGGGAGGTGGGGGAGGAGGGGAGACGAGGTAGGTGTAGGTGTACCCGTCGTCGTCGGACTCTACACCGTCAGGGGTTCGCTGTGGGGTTCGCTCGCTGATCATGTCAGTGAGAGTGTCGCCCTCCTCTCCTCGCATGAGCACCACTGAAGAAGAGGTCTCTTCCACGCCTGACACCACTGATGGCGCTGTCAAACCTGACACTGCCCGCTCCCTCGCCCTCTCCCTCTCCCGCTCCCGCTCCCGCCCCACCTGCTCTGCCCTGCTGGGGTCCTCACTGTGCCACTCGATCATCATCTGCCCTGGGATCACCCCAGGTGCAGGCCTGTCAACGGCAGCAGAACCACCAACAGACGCGCCAGCAGAGGCGCCAGCAGAGGCGTGAGCAGCACCACCACCAGCAGCAGCAGCAGCTGCTGCAGCGAGAGCAGCGACTGATTCGTCGAGCTCGGCCTTCATCTCCCGCACTTGCCTCATCAGCTCCTCGGCCCTTCTTTCCGCTGCCTCCGCCCTCCCCTCTGCTGCCTCTGCCCGTGCTTTTTCCTCCTCCGCCCTCCTCTCAGCCCCCTCCGCATCCTCTCTAATCAACTCCACCCTCCCTTCAACCACCATCACCTGCTGTTTCAGCCCGACCACCTGCCCTTCAGCCTCTCTCAGCCTCCCTCTTGCAACCTCCAACTCCTCCCTCAGTCTCCTAATCTCAGCATCCTTCCCCTCAGCTTCCCTCCTCCACTGCTCCAGCTCCCTCCTCCTCTCCTTCACCTCCCTCTCAACCATCTCCTGCTCTTTCGCCCAGGCCTCCCACTCCCGCCGCTGCCGGTCTGCCTCCCGAGCCTCCGCCTCAAGTTCGGCAATCCGAGCCTCGGCTTCGGAGGTTCGGATCTCCAGGTCGCAGCGGGTGGCTCGGAGGTCCCGGTCGAGGGCATGGGCGTGGCGGGACCGAGCCTCGAGCTCTTTCTGGAGGGCGGATACTGACTCCTCTGCTGCTGCTCTCGCCCTCTCTGCCTTGTCCTGAGATGGGATGGAATGGGATGGAAAAATTGTTAGTCGACTCAAAATTCAGATAATGGTGTGGGCGTGGCGGGACCGAGCCTCCAGCTCCCTCTGAAGCACGAATACCGACTCCTCTGCTGCTGCTCTTGGCCTCTCCGCCTTGTCCTGGGATGGAATGGAGTGGGATGGAAGGGGGTAAGTCTAGAAGTGACTTTTGAGTCGACTCAAAAGCCGCCGCAAGCTCTTTATCGAAGGCAGGCATGACTCCCCTGCTGCTGCTCTGGCCCGCTCTGCCTTGTCCTGAGATGGGATGGAGTGGGATGGGAGGGGGTGCGGTGGAGTGGCAGTTTGAACGAGAATGCATGAGCAGGCATTGCGCAGCTAGATTGGCTCTAAGAATCGCAATTTGAGCCTCTTGCACGCATGAATCTTCACCATGTCGCGAAGGAAAAGGGAAGTCTCAGTGCGATCATCTCAGTGTGGCCCATTCGGGCCATGCCTCTCAGTTACCATCTCAACCACATTACTCCCATCTCAACCACATTGCTCCCATCTCAACCACATTACTCCCATCTCAACCACATTGCTCCCATCTCAACCACGTTGCTCCCATGTCATTCCCATCACCCGCATCACCCCCATCTCACCCGCATGACGCGCAACACGGCCAGGCGGATGGCATCAACAGCCACATCCACCTTCTTGCGTGGTGGAGCCAGCTCCGCCTGCTGCTGCGCCGCCTGTGGTTGTCGGTTTGAGAGCGCAACAGAGACAAGGGAAGCAAGGGATGAGGAAAGGGAGGTGAGAAATGGGAAGAAGGGGGCGATCAAGGCACCCGATTACAGTGAGCTAACTCAGAGATGTGAGGGGGAGCGACCAAGAGACCGCCAAAAGGGTTACTCACAGCCAATAAACCAAGACAAGACAAGTCTTACAAAAGGCCCATCCAGTCCACAAGCTTAAAAAAAAAAAAAAAAAAAATAGCTGAAAAGCCGTGATTCATCCCATGCTTCATCCCGTTTAGAGGCTGACCTGTTTAAGGCGGTTAAGCCTCATTCTGGCGACCTTCATCCTCAGGTGCTGCTGCAGCAGCTGCCAGGGCCGGCGACTGCTGTACCCCCGCCAATGGGCCTGGGGGAAGAGGGGGGAAGGGGATGAAAGGGAGAAACGCAGGGAATGGAATGTCAATTCGGAGCAGCAGTGCTGAGCAGGGCAGGTCCGTGAGGGCGCCAAATGGCTACTGGAAGTCTCATTCCGGGGATTTGGGATCGCAGGACGGCCATTGGAATGGAGCAAACATGCGGCTGACTAGAAATACAGGTTAACTCCAAAACGGTGTTGCTGGAGTGGCAAGGAGATGAGGAAGAGGGGGTGGGGAGGAGGGCGAAAGAAAAGGCGGTTAAAGCAGGTGGTGTGGGTGGGGGGGGGGGGGGGGGGGGGGGGGGGGGGGGGGCGAGGAGAAATCGTGCAGAAGTGAGCTCCAGACTCACACACAGACTCACACACAGACTCACACACAGACTCACACACAGACTCACACACAGACTCACACACAGACTCACACACAGACTCACACACAGACTCACACACAGACTCACACACAGACTCACACACAGACTCACACACAGACTCACACACAGACTCACACACAGACTCACACACAGACTCACACACAGACTCACACACAGACTCACACACAGACTCACACACAGACTCAGTTGCTGCAACGCGAGTGGACCGACCAACCTGAATGGTGATAGCAGCCCAGTGCTGCAGCCGTGCCTTCTGTGGCGGCATTGCAGCAGGATGGCCACGCGGCGCAGCTTTAGGAAGCCACACACTCAGATGCACTGCGCTGCAAGTGAACCAACTGACCTGAATGGTGATAGCGGCCCAGTGCTGCAGCCGCCACTCCTCCGCGTATCGGGCCATCTCTCCCCGGCGCCGGCACTGCAGCAGAATGGCCACGCGGCACAGGTCCAGGAAACCACAGACTCAAATGCAGCACTGCGCTGCAAGTGAACCGACTGACTGACCTGAATGGTGATGACAGCCCAGTGCTGCAGCCGCCATTCTTCTGCATACTGAGCCACTTGCCCCCGGCGCCGGCGCTGCAGCAGGATGGCCACGCGGCGCAGCTCCAGGAAGCCACAGCGCACCACCAGCCCGCGCCACCAGCTCTGTATGCGCTCCGCCGCCCTCCTCTCCCTGTGCACCCTCATTATCCTCCGGGTGCGGTAGCCTGGGGAAGTGGAGCGGGGGTGTGGGTGGTGAGGCGGAAGAAGCGGGAGGAAGAAGAACGGGAGGGAGGGGTTTGGGGCGCCACCATCTTTGAATGCGCACCACTGCTCTTCGCGCTCTCTGCACGTGCACCCACCGCCGGGTGAGGTAGCCTGGGGGAGTGGAAGGGGGGAGGGGAATGAAGGGGCAAGAAAGAGGGAGAAACAGGGGTAGGGAAGGAGGGGGGGATGCATTTGGGATGTGAGGAGGTCTTGGTGTGGTCCGAATTCATATGTCTTAAAGGTTCACATCACAGCCCATGTCCCTCTGGCTCTCAGTCTCCACGGCTGTGCCATACCTCTCCATGCACTCAGTGCCCATGTCTCAAAGTGACGTGCCTCTCACTACAATGATCCCTACCCATGTCCCTGACTGACTAGACTACAGTACCTCTCCATGCGCTCTGAATGACAACAGTGGCGTGCAGCCGGTGCTTGCGCCACAGGCAGCGCCACACAGCCCTCTGAATGGCTGAGCTGCTGCACCCAATCGCTGCCTCTTAGACGCCTCAAAAATAGACCTGTAAATCTGACGCACCTCTCCATGCGCTCTGGATGACAACAGTGGCGTGCAGGCGGTGCTTGCGCCACAGGTAGCGCCGCACTGCCCTCTGGATGGCCGCTGCTGCCGCGTCCACCTGCTGCGACCGACACGCCTCCAGCGCCTGCAGCTGCCCCGCGCGTAGGAACACCATGGTGCGCCCCACCTGGGGATGGTGGGAGGGGGATTTGAGAGGAGTGAGTGAGTGAGGGGTTGGACGGAGTGGGAAGAGCTTCTAGAAGCTTCCAGTGCGTGCAGCTGCCTCGCCCTCGGGAACACCATGGTGCGCCCCACCTGGGTGCAGTGGGACGGTGGGTGGGAGAGGAAGAGTTGGTTAGAGGGGACAAGAGGAAGTGCGAGTTGAGAGGCCGCTTGACACGCCTCCAGCGCATGCAGCTGCCCACGTGCGGCCCACCAGGAGAGGAGTGAAATAGAGTGAAGGGCGAAATGATGCTTCACAAGATTGCAGTGCCTGCACTGCAGTGCAGCTGCCCGGCACTCAGTAGGATCACCATGGTGCAGTGCAGTGCAGCCTACGTGAGTGGTGGAGGGTGGAAGGGAGAGGAGTTGGTCAGGCGGGACAAGAGCATGTGCCAATTGAGAAAATGCATGCTTGACTTGACACGCGTCCAGCACCTGAGCTGCCCTGCGCGCAGGAATACCAGTGAGCGGCCCACATGGATGCAGGGGAAGGTGGGTCGGTGGAAAGGAGTGAGATTGCAAAGGGAAAGGCCGCAGTTACACCAACGCTCACAATTATCTCGACACCATGCTCCAGGCTTGTGCCGTAAGAACACTACTGCCAGCCTGCCGCACCTACCTGCCAGCCTGTCAGATTGGCATTGGTGAGAATGAGCTTCACAATGTCAGGCTCCGATGCCCTGCGATTGTAAGAGGTAATGGGAGAACATGGGGACGACAGAAAGGGCATGAGGGGCATGGAAGAGGGGCATGGGGGGCACGGAAGAGGGGCATGGGGGAAAGGGGAATAGAGGCATGTCGGACAGAAGGGGAGGTGTGGACGAGAGGGGGGAAGAGTACGAACGGATGAGGGATACAGGGAGGGAAACGGGTAAGGGTAAGCAGGCAGCTGTAGATGCATGCGGCACGTGGTGGTTGCAGCAGCTCCTAGAGAGGCACACATCAGAAAGCGCATGTGAAGGTGGTCAAGCGCTGGTAAAGGCAAGGACTTTCGAATTTGGAGTGGATGGGAAAGAGAAGACATTTGAGGCGCTTCAAAAGTCACTGAAGTGTGCGTGTGACGATGGTTTAGCACTGCGCTGGTGAAGACAGGGACTCTGGGATCTGTAGTGGGGCGAGAGAACCACAGCTGGGGTGGCATATGGGGCCCAGCCCAGGCACTCACGTTGAGAGCTTGAGGGCAGCAGGGGAGTCGGGGGGCAGCAGCAGGGCGAAGCGTTCGATGAAGTCCCCAAAGGGGCGGCGCGATGGGAAGCCCGCAGAGCACACTCGAATGGCCTCCACCACGCCCTGGTGGGAAGGGGGAGAGAGGGGTCGTGAAGGGGGAAAGAGTGAAAATTAGAGGAAATAATACAGTCAATTAAAAAATCATCGAAGCCCGCAGAGCACACTTGAATGGCCTCCACCACCCCCTGGCGGGAGGGGGCAGAGGGGTCGTGAGGGGGAAAGAGTGAGGAGGAGGAAAGGAAGAGAGAGAATCAGAGGAAATGACATAGTTGATTAGAAAACCATTGAAGCTGGCGAAGCACACTCGAATTGCCTCCACCACCCTCCTAGTGGGAGGGGAGACGGGGGTCGTGAGGGGGAAAGAGAGAGAATCAGAGGAAATAAATTAGTCGTTAAAAAAATCATCGAAGCCAACAGAGCACACTCGAATGGCCTCCACCTCTCCCTGTTGGAAAGAGGCAGAGGGGGATGCGGGGGAGGACAGTGAAGAGGAGGCAGGGCAGAGAGGAAAGATAGGGAGCAGCAGCTCTTGATGTTGGACCAAGTTCCATGCGCCTAGAGTCATGCATACAAAGACACCTGTGCGCTCAGCCCTTTGCACGTCTCTCTCACCCCACCCTGCACGCCCCTCTCACCCCAGATCGCAGCTGATTGGCCACGGAGAGCCAGTCAAAGACGGCCGGGTGGCTGGCGGCGTTTGGCTTGATGCAGCGCACGTAGTGGGGCTGCATGGCAGACAGTGTCTTCATCAGCTGCGCCAGCTGGAGCTGCAGGGAGAACAGTGGGCTCGGGGGAAAGAGGAGCGGTGTTGGGGGGTGAGAAGGCGATGGGGTACTGAGGCGATTGGGGCAGAGGGGTTTTGAGTTGAGCAGATAGTATTCATCAGCTGCGCCAGCTGAAGCTGCAGTGAGGACAGTGTGTTGGGGCGAAAGCTAGGGACGGCAGCAGAGCAAGCAGAAGATGTATGAGGCGAGAAGGGGGGCGTGCTAAAACAAGGCTTGTTTGCAGCACATGCCGAAGGGAGTGATTTCACTTGTTAAGACCAGTGGTGCTGCGAGGGGAAGGGGCAGGTTAAGAGGAAGCAGAGTTAACCAGCAGAGGGAAGGTTGAGGGAAGGTAGGTGGGGGGCAGCAGAGGCTATGGCATGCAGCAACAAAGGGCTTGCAGAGAGATAGCACCCACAAAGCCCTCTGACACATACACTTCTCATAGGTGGCCTTTCCAAGCGTGGCTTGCCTGGAAGCTGCAACTGCACCGCACCGCACCGCACACCTTGAATCGCCAACTCTCCAGTTGACCAGCCCACCCTCAGGCCCCAGCGTCTCACCTTGAACTGGCGGCCCAGAGATGTCACACGCGACCCCCCACCTCTCCCTCCCACACTGCCCCTCACTCCCCCTCCCCCGCTCCCTCCTCTCAGGCTCTGCCCATCCCCCAGGGGGCTCTGAGGCCCTCCAAGCAGCCGCCGCCCCACGCCACCCGGCCCGCCGCCCGACCCGCCGCCCGTATCAGCACTGGCAAAGGGGCTCCTGAAGGCATTGGGGCGCTGACCAAAGGGGCTAGTCAGGGAAGACGCAGGGCTGGGAGAAGCGTTGGCAGGGTCTGCAGCAGCAGCTGTGGCAGCAGCGGCGGCATTTATGTAGGAGTAGGCGCCAGGGAAGGGGGGTTTGCCAGGGGTGGTGGCGAGGGGGCTACCGGGAGTGGGTGGAAAGGGGGAGGAGGGGGTGGTGGGAGGCGGGGCAAAGAGGGCGGCTAGAAGGTCGTCTGAGGATTGCTCTAGCAGCTGCTGCTGCTCTGGTATGGTCACGTCCGTGTTCTTGGCCATGAACTCAAGCAGCGAGTAGCGCACCTGTGCAACAGAGGAGGGGGGGGGGAGGGAGGGGAAAGGGGGGGGGGGGAGGGGGGGTGTAGATGCGCTGTAAAAGAGGGGGAGAACACCAAGGGTTTGGGAAGTGAACCGACAATGCACGGCCCCACGCGATCACAATTTGCGAACAATTTTTGGGGATTTGGGGACGTTGAGAATATCGAGAAAAATGAGAACCAAACTGAAGGGACACGTTTCCGGAAAATGGAACAGCAGGGAAAGTAGCGACAGCAGCAGCGGCGGTGGCAGTGGAGGCAGCACTAAACAGCAGCAGCAGCAGCGGGGAGCATGGCTTGCCTTGCCTTGCCTTGCCTGCGTAGTGCGAGAGAGTGAAGTCAGTGGCAGCAGAGCCGCGTGGCATGGTGAAGCGCTTGCTGCCCTCCAGTGACTGCCGCAGCGTCTGAGCCAGGCTGGCTGGTGTCATATGCGCCAGCTTGCTGCACGGATGGGGCGATGGGGGCGATGATGATGATGACGGATCACAGGGAAATAGTTTGTCGTGGGGTCAGGTCAGGTAGACATGGCAATAAGGCAGCAGGAGGTGCTGTTAGATTTAGGCTGTCAACACTTTGTGTGCTATATTCTATATCGCATAGGTTATTTGCGGGTTGGGTGTAGTTTGTAATCCCAACCCTATCTGGTTGGGATTCCCTCGTAATCCTGCAAATCTGCCAACTCACCAATTAAAGATTTGCTAGGATTCCCATCCCATCCTTTCCCTAAACTTGCCCAACCCAACCTCGTTTGTACTTAAGGCCTAGTGCATTCTCTACTGATCAATCAGTTGAGCTCCATTTCTATCAGGTGCAGATTGTGCTTTAAGTCGACTTGAAACACAGCTGGCATGTGTCATATGGGCCAGATACTAGCAAGAATGTGTGTGAGGGGAGTGAATATGGCTGAGTGTATGGGACGCTGGAGCTAATTTGTGCATGCGATGCGATCCACGCCTGAAGCGCTGTTGATGCAGCACGTATACCCCAATCAATTGGGGGGCAATGCGGCATGAGAGTAGAGCATTACACAGACACTGCCGCAAGACAGGGGAGAGACAGACTCTGACAGAACTAAACGCAAGCGGTATTGTGAAAAAAAAAAACAAAAACAAACAAACAAACCAGAAATCTGTTGTGATAGAGTATGCATGGTAGGGGAGTAGTGGGAGAGAGGGAGTTTGGCGGCGTGGGCATGGCGTACCAGGCAGAGTCAAGCATTGAGATGATGCCCTTGTCCTGTGGGGGAGGAGAAGTGCAAGGAGGGTTGGGAGGAGTGCAAGGAGGGTTGGGAGGAGTGCAAGGAGAGTCTTGAGATGCGATGGGGAGCCTTACAACAGAGTCAAGCAAGGGGATGCGATGCGATGCACATTAGCAAGGTCTGGTCTGGTTGCAAGAGATTGCCGAGCACATCAGTCTAAAGCTTCTGGCATCAAATGTGGTGGACTTGTCCACTGGCAGCAAAAGATTGTCCCAGGCATGATCCATGATAAGAATGCAACGCACCCCTTCTATGGCGTCGAGCACATCGCTGTTGTCGTCAAAGTCAATGAAGTCCCACTGGATGCCCTCCCGCTCGTACACCTGCTGCTCCTCCCTCAACACGTGCTGGAGGGCAGAGGCAAAGGGCACGAGGAGAGGGAACGAGGGAGGGCAGGGTGTGAAGGGCAGTCAAGGCACTGAGGTTCCACTTGATGCCCTCCCGCTCGTACACCTGCTGCTCCTCCCTCAACACGTGCTGGAGGGCAGAGGCAAAGGGCACGAGGAGAGGGAACGAGGGAGGGCAGGGTGTGAAGGGCAGTCAAGGCACTGAGGTTCCACTTGATGCCCTCCCGCTCGTACACCTGCTGCTCCTCCCTCAACACATGCTGGTGCAGGGCAGACGCAAAGGGCATGAGGAGTGGGGAAGAGGGAGGGCAGGGTGTGAAGGGAAGCCAAGGCATTGAGGTTCCACATGATGCCCTCCCGCTCGTACACCTGCTGCTCCTCCCTCAACACATGCTGGTGCAGGGCAGAGGAGGAGGGAACAAGGAGAGGGAACGAGGGTGTGAAGGGCAGTCAAAGAGACCTCCCTCCATTTGGTATTTGATAAAGGTGTCGCTGCACACAAATTCCCATGCATCAGCCTCTTGTAACCGGATAAGAGTGCTGCTGACCTTACCTGATAATACTGTTCCGACATAGTGCAAGTGTAATCCTCTTCGTACCTGGTTGAAGTGTTGCTGCAGCTTCTCACTGGCCAGGTTGATAGCCACGTGAGGCAGCTCAAAAACAGCTTAATATCACGTTGCACGCTTAGCGCAAGTGCAGTCCTCTCCTTCCTACCTGGTTGAAGTGCTGCTGCAGCTTCTCATTGGCTAGGTTGATGCACAGCTGCTCAAAGCTTTTGAGTCGACTCAAAAGTCACCTTGTGTCGACTCAAAGTCACCTCTTCGTACCTGGTTAAAGTGTTGCTGCAGCTTCTCATTGGCTAGGTTGATGCACAGTTGCTCAAAGCTGCAGCATGGGGAGAGGGGATGGGGGGGTGGGGACTTTTGAGTCGACTCAAAAGTCTTGAAGTGTTGCTGCGGCTTGCTGCACTTCTCATTGGCTAGGTTGATGCACAGCTGCTCAAAGCTGTAGCATGGGGAGAGTGGAGGGGAGGGGACGGGGGAGCACACAAAGAGGCACAAGGAGGGGAGAGAAGCAACAGCAGAATATGCGAGAGGGTAATAGAAGGCACAGTCCAGACGATCTTTATGTGTCAAATGTTTTAGACCTTGCTGCCATACCAAACACTCTGTCAACCTCTCCACAGGGCATCGTTAACCTCTACCGTAGAGGCTCTATGCATGGATCCCTACAAGGCAGCCACCTCGAAGCCGTAAATGCCGTTTCAACTCACCTGTTGGTCTCAAAGTGCTCGAAGCCATATATGTCCAGCACGCCTATGCACCGGCCCTCCTCCACCACACCTGTCTGCTGTATCGACTCGTTGATTCGCTCCACCAGCCTGCAGGGGAGGCATGCAGCAGGGGGAATGGGAAAAAAGGGCATGAAGGAGAGCACTTGGCCTAGGTGATATATGCATCGATTTGATTGATGTGCTTCCACCAGCCTGCACCCCGGCGGTGCGGGCGTTGTGTCGTTTAACACAAGAACGGGGAGAGAGAGACCCAGCAGTCAAAGACGAGCACAAGGCATCTAAAGGCCCACCAGTCGGAAGCGCGCAAGTAGCAGAGCACCTTGGTGAGGGCCTGTCATCAAGGCGCACACGAGGAGGTGCAGTGGAGGTGTTGGTTTGACTCACACAAGGCATATGAGAGAGAACGAGGAGGAGGTGAGAGGGGAGGGGGGCGGTGATCATGATCACCCACCAGTCGAAGACGCGCGAGTAGAGTGCCTCGGCGAGGGCATCGCGGCGCAAGCAGGCAGTGTGGTGGAGGCGCTGAGTTGACCCACACAACGGGTATGCAAGAGAGGGACTCCCACCAGTCAAAGACGCGCGAGTAGAGTGCCTTGGCGAGGGCATCGCGGCGCAGGCGATGCGGTGTGGGTGTTGAGCCGATTCACACAAAGCCAACGCCGGGTGCACCGAAGAGCTAAGGTTGGAGAGGGACACCCACCAGTCAAAGACGCGCGAGTAGAGTGCCTTGGCGAGGGCGTCGCGGCGCAAGCAGGCGGTGCGGTCGTCCGCTGGGCTGCGAATGACCTCCGGCCCCACCCGCCTCGTCACCACCGTGATGCTCTCCCGCATCGCCTCCTTGTCCACTCTGAGGGGATTGGGAGGGGGTAACAGGGGAAGGGGGTTGGAGGGATAGTGGGGTTAAGGGGGGTCGCGGCACAAGCAGGCGGTGCGGTCATCTTCTGGGCTGCGAATGACCTTCGGCCCCACCCGCCTCGTCACCACCGTGATGCTCTCCCGGATGGCTTCCTTGTCCACCCTGACAGCCAGGGGGGTTGAAGGTGAGGAAGGGGCACAGGGAGGGGAAAGATGGGAAAGGAGGCACGGTGGGGATTGGGATATGGAGCAATCCCTCTCCGGCCCCACCCGCCTCGTCACCACCGTTATGCACTCTCGCATGGCTTCCTTGTCCACTCTGAATGCCGTGTGGGGACAGGGAGGAAGAGAGAGCGGGGGGGGAAGGGAGAGTGGAGTGGAGAGAAAAGGGCAACTTACAGCCTCACCAGCCTGGTAACCACCACCATGACGCTCTCACGCATCGCCTACTTGTCCACTCTGACCACCCGCCCGGTACAGTGGAGAGGGGAAAGGAGGGGAAAGAGGGAGAGGCATGGCAGAGAGAAGCAACCTCCAGCCCCACTAGCCTGGTGACCACTGTGATGTACTCTCGCATAGCCTCCTTGTCCACCCTGAATGGGGTGTGGGGATGGGGAAGAGAGTGGGGAGGCAGGGAGGGCACCCAAGCAGGTCAGCACACACACACACACCCAAGCAGGTCAGCACACACGCACACACCCAAGCAGGTCAGCACACACACACACCCAAGCAGGTCAGCACACACACACACACCCAAGCAGGTCAGCACACACACACACACACACGAGCAGGTGAGCACACACACACACACCCGAGAAAAGTGAGCACAAAGCCCAGCAGGTGAGCACACATGACAAGGCCACAAAAGAAGAGACCTGAGCAGGTCAAGAGAGCACACCTGAGCAGGTCAAGAGAGCACACCTGAGCAGCTCAAGAGAGCACACCTGAGCAGGTCAGCAGCGGCACCCAGGTGCGCCTCTGCATGAGGCACTGCCAGCACCAGATCCGAGTCCCTCTGCTCAAACGTGAAGTTGCCTATATGGAGGATGGCCGCCAGTATTTTCAGGATTGAGTCCTGAGGAAAGGAGGGGGAAAGGGAGCGGGGAAAGGAAGCATTAGTATCGTTTCTAAATTGAGAATGGCTGCCACTATTTACAGTACTTTCAGGAAGGGGTGCGGAAGGGAATGGGAGCAGAAGGGGTCTAAACAGGAACAGCTCGTTTTTAACACACCCCATCAAACCCCACCTGCTGCTGTGCAGTGATGCCAACAGCCCGCATGGCGGCCATGGTGGCGGAAAACTCGTCAGCGTCAGAGGCACGGCCAGGCAGGTGGAAGCAGGAGCTCTGGTTGAGGTAGTGGAAGTGGTGGGCGCGCGTGCTGGGGTCAGGGGGCAGCTGCAGCGCCGCTGCTTCCTGCATGGTGGGATGTGATGTGAAGGAAAGGGTGGAAGCAGGAGCTCTGGTTGAGGTAGTGGAAGTGGTGGGCAAGCGTGCTGGGGTATGGGGGCAGCTGCAATGCTGCTGCTTCCTGGAGGGTGGGATGGGGTGGGAGCGGAGGGTTCTCCAAGCGCCTCAATAGTTGTATCGAGATCACTGTTGAGAATTCTCAAAAGTGAATTCGATATTGCAGTTTGGTGGCAGGCAGCAGCTTCAGCTGCAGCGCACTTGCTTCATTCGTGAGGGGATGTGTTGGAAACAAAGGCGAGAGAAGGCAGGGATGGTAAAGACGAAGGGTTTGCAAGGATGAAGGAGGGAGTGGATGAGCAAGGGGCCAAGGGAGAATTTGGATGAGCACGGAGGGGCTTCACAAGGCTTTCATGCTCTCACCTCAGTGGAGAGCCCCTGGCACATCTGGTAGAAGATGTGGTAGTTGCGCTCGCAGTCTGCGATGTGAACCACACACACACACGCAACCGCTGTAACAGGTATGTGCACACTTTGTGAGACAGCCTAGCCCATGGCTCACCTCCTGAGACAGCCCCTGGCACATCTGGTAGAAGATGTGGTAGTTGCGCTCGCAGTCTGCGATGTGAACCACACACACACACGCAACCGCTGTAACAGGTATGTGCACACTTGTGAGACAGCCTAGCCCATGGCTCACCTCCTGAGACAGCCCCTGGCACATCTGGTAGAAGATGTGGTAGTTGCGCTCGCAGTCTGCGATGCGCACCACTCGCGACCGCTCCAGCAGGTACGTGCGCACCGCTGCCCCCGTCAGCCCGCCGCCGCGCCCAAACTGCAGCTCGATGAACTTGCCAAAGCGGCTGCAGGGCACACAGTGGCAAGGAATCAATCGGAATCAAAATCTACCCTTCAGCTCACCCTCCCCTTTCCCCCCTTCCCCTCCCTCGCTTCCCCTCCCAAACTGCAGCTTTATGAACTTGGCAAAGCAGCTGCCAGTGGTGCGGAGTGGTGGGAAAGTAGTGTTGTGGCAATGGTACAGGGCGGCAAAGGTTAGAGGAGTTTCTAGTCGACTCAACGGTCACCCTGTGGACCCACCAACTCCCTGGTTGCGTTGCGGCTGCCTTGTTGGGTGGTGGGCCCGAAAACGCACTCAGCCATGGGAATAGGAGACGAGGAGGGATGGTTGCAATGAGTGGCTTGTAAAGAGAAAGAGGAGAGTGGGCTTAGGGTTATCAAGCCACGGTGCACCTTGAGTTGTCGTTCCTGAGAGTCTTGGCGTTACCAAAGGCCTCGAGAAGTGGATTGGCCTGCACATATCAGCAGGAGGAATGAGTCAGGTGGGGTGGATAAAATTCATATAAAGAGCCCACGAGAACCAAAAAAAATCTAACAAAAAAAAATGTGACAGGTCTCATTACAACGTCCTCTATCCCCTGCATCATTTGACCCAACTACGCTACGCCTATGTTTACCATCCACCACATAGCAAAGAAACAGACCTACCTGGAGGACCAGTGATTCTATGCTCGGAGAGGCGGAGGGCGAGCCAGATGGGTGGATGTGCAGGGCGGGGAGGGAGGAGGAGGCAGTGGGGAGGACGATGGTGGGGGAGGGCAGCGAGGCAGGGTCACTGTGAGCAGCAGCGCGGGCGAGGTACTCTATGATTAGCTTCGTGGTCTCTGTCTTGCCTGCTCCGCTCTCCCCGCTTATCAGAATCGCCTGGCTGCGACCCCCCTCCCTCATGGCCCTATAAGTGAGCATTCGGCAAGTGATGGGTATGTATCAGGGTTATCTCTGGCTCTGTTACTCTGTTACCACTGTTACTGCAAGGGATCGTGGTGATACAGAGAGGGAGGACGTGGATGAGGCAGCACACGCAAGCACGCCCCATGCACGCCCTATGGACGCCCTATGCACGCCAATGCGTACCGGAATGCGTTCTCTGCAGTAGATGTGTGGTAAGAGCAGGCTGAGGGGCAGCACGTTATGGTACTGGAAGGGAAAAGGTTAATGAAGAAGGGAAGCATCACGCATGAACGCCCCATGCGTACCGAAATGCGTTCTCTGCAGTGGCGAAGACGTGAGGTGAGAGCAGGCCGAGCGGCACGCCATGGTACTGGCGCATCATAGCGGTGTCGTACAGCCCAGGGATGCGCACAAAAGGGTTCAGCGCTATCAATATAGACCCTGTGTATGTCTGGAGGGAAGGATTCAATGGGGAACAGTGGGTGTGCAGTCAGGTGTGAGTGAGAGAGAGGACACACGTAGTTGAGATTGAATATGGGTTAAAGGGTCAGCAGCAGTGGATGTGCAGCAGAGCGAGAGTGGTAAGAGAGATCACCGACGAGGATAGGTTGGATGTGAGTAAAAAGGGGTCAGCCGTGGGGTTGCACCAGCGTGCAAGCGAGTGAGAGAGGGTGGGTGAGCGTGAGAGCACGCACGTAGATGAGGTTGGCGCGGTAGCGGCGGCAGAGGTTGGAGAGCACACCGGGCTCGTGCAGGCATGTGAGACGAACCATGTCGTCCAGTAACGGGCCCTCTGGCTCGCGCATGCAGCACAGCGACGCGTGCACCTCCCATAGCTGCCAAGGAGTGGCAGAAAGTTGAGGGTGCGAAGCGCAGCAAGGAGTAGATAGGTAGGGAAGAAAATTGGCATGAATGGTAGACACCTCCCATAGCTGCGGAGGAGGCCGGAGCGGCGCGATGGGAATGAGAACGAGCGGCGCGATGGGAATGAGAACGGCAGAAGGCCGTGAGATGTGCGGACGAAATTGAAATTTGACGAGGAATTTGAGGACTTGGGTCATGTCGTCCACTAGCGGCTTCCCCGCGTGCAGGTAGAAGATGGGACGATGGAATGGAAGCAGGATGATCATGGAGACGGTAAGGATTGAAAGCAGTGAAAGGACAGCTGCGCGGTGGGAACGAGAATCGACGGTCTGACGAGATCACTGCTTTGTTTTCATGAGGACGCCGGTACGGAGGCGAGGACGCGGCAGTTCACTACGAATCACACTAAAAAGCGTGAATCTAGATCGTCAACCCTGAAGCGGACTCCGCTTCGGAATGTGAAATGCGTCAAAATGACCAGTCAGGAACCGATCCGCGTTCGACGCATCCCTGACGCGTACTGAAACGGGTAAATTGGGCGCAAGAGGCGTAACAGTCGCCTTACGTCCGGCTTGTCGGGATTATCGATCTTCACGGCCAGTTTGCCTTCCCCCAGGTCCTCTACCACGCACCCCTCCTCCCACGCGAGCTCGGGGTCGGGCACCCACACGTGCGCACCAACGCGAAAGGTCTGCATCGCCTCGCCTGCCATGGCACGCGAGTGTGCAGACTATGGTTGCTATGATCAGGACGAGGACAGCTCCATTCGATATGCCAGTTGAATACGTGATCTTCGGGCCCGCGCGAAGCCTCGGGCATACCGCTCGTCAGAGTGAGGCCGTGGGGCAAAAGCTCGAAGGGAACTCAAATTCCCAAGGGAAAAGTTCCGCTGCAGACAAGTGGAAGGTTATACCGTATCATGTTTGTAACGAGGAAAAAGTTCCGCCCCAGACATTGAAACGGGACCCTGAAAAAAAAGCGGGAAAGCGAATCTCCAGGTAATTGATGGACGGTTACGATCCCCCCAATGAATGTGGGAAAACTTGCTTTCGTATGATTTAGATTTGAATAGTTCTTAGATACAGAAATATTTGGGTGATACGCTTGTATCGAGTTTCCAGTTTTGTGTTGTTGGGGTGGGGCTACGCTCGTTGAGGCCGACATGCTGAGCACAACAATTTCTTCCCCAGCTTCATCAGGAAAAAGCTTCCACCCGAGAGTAATTCCACAACTACTCAGTTCATAATTCCTCGACTTCAGTCATGAAATGCAACGCTTGCTGGGCCGATATTGAAGGGCAAGCTATAGCAACGCATTGCGGACATGTCTTTTGTGAGATTACTACTCCTTTTTCCTCCATGTCTTCCTCTTGCACAGGTGATTGACTCTCCTTACGGCATCTTTCTGTCAGGCCTGGACGATGCCAAAAAGATCATATCAACGGATTCGACATGTCCGAGATGCGAGAAAATACTGTCGAAAGGGTCAGACAATGATATTTCGTCATGTTGTTAAGAGTGAGATGAACGGACGATTCATTCCTTTTCTAATGAACCAGGAACATGAAGGCTATTACGACAAGCATTGACGACACAACGGCTACCGTAACCCTCTTGACATTTTTTTCTGTTCAGCAGTAGCCATCAGAATGAATCTAATTGATCGCCGTTTTGTCTGCAGATGTTGCTCGCTGGGCCCCCTCCAGGATCAAGTAGGTATCCATTACCAATTCTGATTTGCAGGCGTCCACTTTCTAATCGACAAGCATGCGATTGGCTGTCTTTCAGTAATGAAATGCGCCTTCAAGGGCATCAGCTTTTATATTGGCCAAATGGAAGTTGAAAATCAGATGGCACTACAGGCAGCAGAACAGTCAAAGCAGATGCTGAAACAAATGCAAGAGAAGTACGGGGTGCATTTTTGCGTAGATGCAATATCTCACTTCCTGGACTAAGCCGCCATTGTATGTAATGCAGGTTCATGGCGAAAATGGAACAAGTCCATGGGGCGCTTCAGAAGTCTCTCAAGCAAAACCAGGTGTTGCAAAAGGAGAAAGAGAACATGGCAAAGGATGTTTCGGAACTCCAGCAGAAATATGCAGAAAAGGCACGGTAAGACCAGTGAGCCTCGCATCTCACATCGCGTTACCTTGCTTCTCTCAACCTGCAGCAGATAAAGCTGTGATTTTGCAGCCAGAAGCGAAAGCTTGAAGAGATGTACGAGTCGCTGAGGGGTGAGTATGAGTCCCTCAAGCAAGGAACGCCAGGCTCAGGACGACCTTCGACCGCTCGAGTTCGAGCGCAAGCTGCATATGTTCCTACACCTGACAGTATGGAACTTGGGAGAAAGCGCCAGAACCAAGGTAAACATTCATCTTTATGCATAATTACCGTAATCTGGAGATCTCTAACCACCGTTGTTTCGTTGCAGGTCCGTTTCACATTCCTGGCCTCCCTGCACCTACACATGGCCGTGGGGTTGAAAGTCCAGCATCAGGTGGACGCCCGTTCAGCCGTCCTGAGCCTTCGTTTGATGGGAATGATGCACAAGGGTTCTTCTCAACCCCCTCGAACCAAGGGAATAAAGACAATGCTTTGCGAAATTTGCTTCTTTCTCCGGCACTCCAGAGGCCCCCATCACGAATGGGTGCACGTTTTGGGCAAAGGTGATTCATGGCTCATCAACACAACTTTTGTCTGCTAACTTTGTGGTCATGACAATATATTTATGTGAGGCGGCACATATGCTCTCACTGGTCGTAACATGGTCGTTGTGGTAGTAATTAGACTGCATGGTGGTAACTCTTGGCCCTACCAAGAGAACTTATTAGCTCGTATGCTACATGGTCGCTAACTGTTGCTCCATTGCTTCAACCTCTGAGCGCCAATCGGGAAGCTTTTTAAGCTTCTCCACTTGCTCTGGCGACAAATTATTAGCTGATTCCAATGCTTCTGCCTGGCGGATCTGATAACAGAACAACGGTGGAAGTGAGGGAAACCCATGAAAGTTTATGGGTTGATGTTTTATTGAGGAGTGAAACCCATGGAGCATTTGGACAAAATACCACAAGCATCAGGTGCTCATGAGAGATGCTAAATACCAGAGACGACTCAACAAGGCAACCACAGAAGAACAAGAATTGCACAACAGCCATACCTTCTTCTTCAGTGCACGTATCTTCTTTTCGATCTCAGCTTTACCACCAACTGCGCCATCCGATCCAGACTGAGTTGAGTCTGCTCTGCTACCTGCACCCCCTCCATGCTTATTTGCTCCAGAAACAGTGAGCTCATCCATAGCCTCTGCAAGCTGACTGTTAGCTTCTTGTGGAGCTGAGCTTCGCCTGTCGGAGGCTCCAGCAGCCGAGCTGACAGCTCCTCCAGCTCCCTAAAGATTGAGAGGGAGCAAGGGTGAATGTTTTGTGTGCGCAATGTAGAGTATGGCATGCCCTTGGGATACGGAACATTGTGATTTGTATAAAGCAATACTGTACAGGTTCAGCCAGCCCTTGCCTTCTTGAAGCAAAACATCATCTTCGTAACGACAGCCCCGTTCCACTCACCTGAGCCTTTTTCTTTTTCTTTGCAGCAGCTGCTTTTTTCTTTTGCATCTCCGCAGCCAGTTCTGGGTCCATACCGGGAGGAAGCTCCGGGCCGCTACCCTTGGGCTGCAATACAATCGAGAACACGCAGCAGATTTCATGGACAGAAGAATCGGAATAATCTTATAGGGGCGTAAACCATGAGCTAAGACGCGAGCTACAGCCTCGCAATGCAACGCCCCTTCATGAAACTGTAATAACTAGATGCTTTTGATTGGAATTAGATACAGGAGATTTAATCCACAGTCGATGAGACGCCAGAGAACGCCATAAGAAGTGGTAACCTGCACGCCGACACTAACAGACACTCCGCGCGGTCCGTCCCAACAAAAATTGCCCAAAATAAGGTGAGGATGACGGGACCTACACGTGATCCTCGGGCTACGTAGGTCGCCACCTCCTCCTGCGCAACGTATCCTGCGCGCACACGAATCTCTTTCCGCATTGTTCCGTCCGGTCTGCGCGACGCGGGAATGACACGCTCATCGGGCGGAGCAACGCTTCCCGGCGGAGCTAGCCTCCGGCCTTCGTCCATGCCGCCGGCTGGTTTGTGCTACGAAACGGGTAAGACGAATCAAACTTGATAGCGAGTTATGACAATCCAAACCCGCTAAGCCCGTGAGAGCGACTCGACCCGGGGCGAAAACACGAACGTTGGCGACAGAAGTCTGGAAGCTGCGGGGGAGTTCAACTCCAAAGTTCGGAGGAGTGGACGGAAAACGTCAGGGGATTTCAGCCGAAGAAAACACATCAGTGAAACATACCGTCGTCCTACCTAAGAGCGCAGTTGGCGCTTCTACTTCGCGCTTGGCCCTACTACTACTGCTCGCGGCTGAATGACCAGATCAGGCTCGGCACTGGATGCTTGCCGCAAGCGCGAGCAAATGGTTACGTTCTTCGCCACTGACTCCCCAACAATCGGCACAAGTAGGAAGCGCTGTGGGGAGGGGACTAAAACGGATGTACGCGTTTGGCCACGAGGTTGCAACACCAAATCAAGTAAGCTGTACAAATATATATTTATATAACCTGAAATGGAAACGTGACTCTAAAAATCACTAGTTGAAGCTTGGAAGACCCTTGACAAATCCGCATTTCAGTGCATTAAAATCACTAGTTGAAGCTTGGAAGACCCTTGACAAATCCGCATTTCAGTGCATTAACACCTTTTCTTAATCAATCCCTCCTTGCCACTGACCCTGCTGGAGCATCTGCACAGCTTCCTTCACTCCCTGCCCCTCCTGACTCAACTCTACTACCTATCCCTGAACTTTCACCTGTCCCTGGAATCCCACCAGGCCCAGAAGGCTCACCCGCCCAAACACTCCCGCCTGCCCCACCAGCAGAGAGCACCTGAGCTTCCAGGTAGGTCAGCTGTCGCTCCAGTGAAGTCAGTTTACTGTTCAATGCTGCTAACCTGCCCTTGGCACTCGCCTCTGGTAGAGCCGGGATACAAAGCAGAGCAGGCCACGAGAAAACAGGGGAAAAGAGAAGAGACAGGGGGAGGAAGGCAAGTAAAGGGGGGGAGAAGACGCAGTGGTAAAGGGGTCTCAAAACCAACATAGAGCAGATGAGCCTCCATCATCCAAGAATGCAGCTGTCTCCATATCTGCCAGCTGTCCCCATATCTGCCAGCTGTTGCACCATGTTGTTCATAAAGCTGCCAGCTGGCCTTTGACACTCGCCATTGGTCGGACCCTCAGGGTATGACAATTGAAAGGGGAAATAGGGGATGAATACGTGTACGGGACTTGAGAGCGGTGCAAAGGGTGTGACCTCCCTCTTATGTGGAAGAGAAAATCACAACATGATAGGTCTTGATTCAACTAGACCAGCTTGCTCAAGGCAGGAGGGAGGGCTATCAAGGCTGGGTCCCGAAGATTGTACAGCAGCAGCAACGGACCTTAGCAATCTCTAATTGGAGGCCGAATATTGTCCATTACACACATTCCCCGAGTTGTAAGGCAGGGGGGCGATGAAACTGGAAGGCACTTGGAATGCAATGAAGACAGCACACGGATTACGCAGCCATGGAGTGGACTTGGATGAAACAGAGTCTAACCGTTTCTCATGTCCATGGCGTCCATGGAATAGACCCAGGCAGGACGGTCGCTGAGGTCAACGTCAGTGCGACGAGCCTGAGAGACGACTTTAGAAAAACGCACAGAAGACGATGTGACAAAGCGGGGGCTGACACCCACCGAAATCGTTGACGAAGGAGTAGATGCGATGAATGTATGCGAATGCTGAGCTGACAAAAAAAATCCGCTTACGAGTAATGCGAAACAAGCACGTACCAAAGTCGTTGACGAAGGTGTAGATGCGATGGATGTTGAGTCGCAGCGACTCCACGAACTCGCGGTTGTCCCAGTCCGCCTGCACTGCCTGCCCGACCTTCTTCGCGCTCATCGCGAAACCGGGCGAAACAAACGAAATGTCGGCGAAAACAGCTCTCAGACAGACCCGTCGCGCGACATGGAAAAGGGTTGCGCTTTTGTTCACGATTGCGACATAAGATTAGGCTTTCCTCACGACTTTGTGCGACCGAGGCCTCAACGGTTGATGGCCCGAGAATTGTCGCAGCACGACGTAGGGGACATCGACCACGAGTCTGATTGATCGGAGACAATCTCTAATTAAGTTACTCTCAGATTTAGGCGCTTCGTTCGGAATTGAGAGGGAGGAGGTATGATGGCGGAGCGGGTGGGCGCGCGGACGAGGCGCGTGGAGGCAGCGACCGCTGCGCGGATGCAACTGCTGCTCGCCCCGAACCCTCGGTGAAAAGAAGAAGAAGAAAAAAAAAAAACGGCGAGCCTTCAGAACGAAAGAGCGGGCCGCTCTATGTTCGGCTTGCGGGCTGGAGGAACGAACTAAGGACGTATTCCTGGCTTCGGATCATCCCGGCTTCATGGCATCCGAAATTTGCAGTATCCAATCGAAAAATTCAAATTTCGAACCGCGGATTTTTTTATTGCTACCTCAATTTTCGGATGACACAAACACCGGATGACCCGAAGCTAGGAATACCCCCCAGTCCTCCACAAATATGATCTCCCATTCGGAGTTCCAGCAGCGTTTGAATCAATACCACCACTGCAAGATGAGTCTGCCAAATTCTCTTTCTTCCACGAGGTGAGCGAAATTCAACTCTGGTGTGCTTTCCTTGGCGACAGTTGACGAACGCACGAATTTGAAGGACTGTGGTTGTCCATCGTTCAAACTGAAATCCAGTGGTGATGATCTTGGCTCCCAGTCGAAGCAACACTCGGCGATATAATTCTCCCGTTTGCGAAAATAGAACAGATTCCAGTAACTTACAGCAAAGGACCCTAACCTCCCTCCCTCACATTTTCATCTTTCATTCCCCACGCACTTGTGTGAATTCCTCGCACGCGCAATCAGCGTCGATCAGTGTCGCTCACATCGTCGCAAGCTCGCGTCACTCGTCGCACGGGGAATGTATCCAGCGGGCCGATCGGCCGTCGCTTCCCTGCGCAGCCTTCCCACGGCCACTGGACACATAATAATCTCGCGCGGCCAATCCTCGTTAGCGCGGATCACCCCTTCGCAGCCGAGTAAACCGTCCATCCTGCGTGCCGGATCCCGTTACATACGCACTCCGCGCGACCGTTTCGTGCCACGTGGCCGTCTCTCGCGACGAACGACAGCGGCGCGCAGCGTTGCGCACCTTTTCCAGCATCCGAGCCTTTTCAGGCATCCCACCTCAAGCAGCGGGAACCTTCCGCGCGCGCACCGCGCTCCGCGCCTTCCCCCCCATCCGTCACCCCGCATTCCTCCCTCTCTCTCGCGTCCCCTCTCCGCGCATCGCATGGACGCGCCACGGCCCTCCGCGGCAGCAGCGGCCGCAGCAGCGGAGGGCGCCGCGGGGGAGAAGATAAGGGATGGCGCAGTGTCAGATGCCGCCATCGCGATGACAGCAGGTAAATGAATGGAAGGAGCGGGAGTGGGGGGGGAGGGGGGTTGGTGTGGGGCGGCGAAGAGACGCGGAGCTGCGGAGAAGAAGATAACGGATGGCGCCGGTTATATCGAAATCACTTTTGAGAAATCTCAGAAGTGATTTCGATATAGTCGGATGGCGAAGTGTCAGATGCTGCCGTCGCGATGACTTCAGGTAAAGGAATGGACGAGTTGCTATTGTTGCTCAAAGAACGCTCACTTCCCTCCATCCCTCCCTCCATCCCTCCCTCCATCCCTCCCTCCATCCCTCCCTCCATCCCTCCCTCCATCCCTCCCTCCATCCCTCCCTCCATCCCTCCCTCCATCCCTCCCTCCATCCCTCCCTCCATCCCTCCCTCCATCCCGCCTCCATCCCTCCCTCCATCCCTCCCTCCATCCCTCCCTCCATCCCTCCCTCCATCCCTCCCTCCATCCTCCCTCCATCCCTCCCTCCATCCCTCCTCCTCCCCCTCCCTCCATCCCTCCCTCCATCCTCCCTCCTCCATCCCTCCCTCCATCCCTCCCGCCATCCCTCCCTCCATCCCTCCCTCCATCCCTCCCTCCATCCCTCCCTCCATCCCTCCCTCCATCCCTCCCTCCATCCCTCCCTCCATCCCTCCCTCCATCCCTCCCTCATCCCTCCCTCCATCCCCCCTCCATCCCTCCCTCCATCCCTCCCTCCATCCCTCCCTCCATCCCTCCCTCCATCCCTCCCTCCATCCCTCCCTCCATCCCTCCCTCCATCCCTCC